TTAGTTTCTTTGGCTGTCATATGGTTTTAGCATATAAACCAAAAGGAAATTTAGGCTTCTAAAAAAGTTCTGATTACAAAAATATAATAATAATATGCGAACCTGAGAAAAATGATATTGAGGAATATTCAGTATCTTATTAATATTAATAGAAATGCCAATTTTATTTGGTGAACAAGAAACTTATGAAAGGGGTGAAACGGTTATGACCAAGAACCAAGTGGTTATTTATAGTTTGTTGTTCTATATAGTTATCGCTTTGATTGTTTGATTAGCAATCAGATTTATTGTGAGTCTGGGTCAAAAAAAAAAAAAAAAATAGTAGAAACATTTTTCACTAATGAATTAGAAGAGACGAGATTATTCTCTAATTAACAAAAAAGAAAAAGTAATTAGGATTCTCGTTCGTTCCGCCGCTTTTTTTATTGCTTTTGCTTCCAAATAATTTACAAGGAAAAGTAATGGAAAGGAAAAAAATTACCCAAGCCAAAAAAAATCTCCGTGATTGTAAAATAATTGAAAGATTTGTGGCGGGGTTAGTATTAACTGGTAATGAAATAAAATCACTTCGTAGCCATCAAGTTTCGATTAATGAAGCCTACATTTTGCCCCAAGCCGGAGAATTACAAGTTATAAATATGCATATTGCAGTCTATAAATATTCTCACACTGGTTATTTGGCTAAGGCTTACAATGACACAAGGCGAGAGAAAAAACTACTGCTGAAAAAAAAAGAAATTAACAAATTAATTGGCACTCTTAAAGCCAAAAATTATGTAATTGTTCCCCTCCAACTTTTTCTCACTAACAAAGGTTGAGCGAAACTGGAAATTGCCTTAGTTCAGCGCTTGCGAAAATACCAAGTAAAAGAAAAAGTTCGGGAAAAAGAAATAAAAAGAAAGTTGCACGAAGAAGACTTTTATTAAAATTGTTAACTAATTTAAATACTAACCAGATTAATAATAATTTTGTCTATTATTTTTTTTGATATTTTTAAAATTTTCCTTTGACCTTTTGGGCTCGCTGGCGAAACTTTTCTACTGCTCCAATTTTAATTTCGCTAGCCGCAGCACCCGTGTAAAAGGGGTTACAATTACTACATGGTCCTGTTTTAATATCTTGGGAAGCAGTAGAAGTGGTTAGAAATTTTTGATCACAAAAAATACAATGAAAATTGATTTGATAGGTGGGAGGGTGATTTTTTTTCTTCATAATATAAATACTATTTTTTGTCTTTTTCCTTAGTCTTATTAACTATTTTTCTTTTTTAATGTCAAACTCTCGTTCTAGTATTTCGTCAGCATCCGAGTAAGGATATTTATCTCATAATTCGGGAGTTAGTAAATCATACTCATTTTTTTCGGGGGTAGAGTGAGTATTTTCTTTTTTTCGGCTATTAAGGTTTTTCTTTCTCAAAACTATTTCTTCTCCTGTTTCTTGGTTAGCAGTTTGGAGCATGTTATTTAAACAATCTCGGCAAGTTTTCCTATTTTGTTTATCTACTAATCTGATTAATTTGTGAAGGAATTCTTTTTGGCAGGTAGAACAAGTAAATAATTTTTCTTTACTTTTGCCTGTATTTTTAGCTTGATTTTCTAACTCTACTATCTTTGCTATTAGTTCTTTATTTTGCTCTCGTAACCCACTGCCTTCGTTTTTTTTAATATATTTGCGTAAAGCGGTAGTGAATAATTTTTTACACTTCTCCAAATTGTCTAATCTTTCCCGCGTAATTCAGACAAAGAAATCGTCGCTTTTGGGGTTCTTAACAATAAAATCAATTTCCCATAAGGCAATATTAAGACTTTTTCCCCGTCTTTTCCCCGTCACTAAGAGTTTAAAAAAGGCTTTGCTGTTAATTATCTTGGTGAAGGGTTCTCACAGTAAGGGTTCTTTTACTTCATTCATAGTAAATATAGCGTATTTTTTTATAAACTGATTACAAATATAATTACAAATATATATTAAAACATAGTATATATGGTGTTATAAAACTACATATATAATAATGACGGATAACCTCGCTTATCAGATAGAAGGAACAGTAATAACCGACCAAGGCTACGAGATTTCCTTACGCCTGAAACTACGGCATTTTCCTGATAAAGGATGGCCTGACTTTCCCGAAGGATACCAGTTTAGTTGAATTGCTTTTAATATTGTCAATCCTGAGCAGGAGTTTGTTTTATTTGATAATCACGAAAACAAACCGCCACATTATCATGTTGACGATAAGAAAAAACAAACATTTTTCACTTGACTCTCTCGTTCCGAAGCCGAACAGTTATTTTTCCAAAAAGTTGCTGAGAGATTTGGTTATTTCGAATTGAATTGAGAATATTAATAATTATGAAGCAAAACAAAACATTTATCTTTAAATATGACCCCACCGCTACTCCCCACCAAATGTTTCAAGGCTTTTGGCAGGCAGTTGACACGGGAAAAAAGAGTATTCAACCCAAAAATGTCATGGTAGCCCACCAACTAGGAACTATTTATCGGGTGGCTAGTCCCACCCGTTTGGATTTATTAGCCTGTGTCGCGGAAAAGCAACCAACCAATCTTCAAGAATTAGCCAAATTACTTGGTCGGGATTATGCTAATGTTTGACGAGATACTCAGGCTTTGGCCAGTTTAGGAATAATTAAACTAAAAAAAGTGGGCAAGGAAATTAAACCAATTGCTCTTTATGAAAGAATAATGTTTGATTTTCCTATTAGTGAAGTTGCTCTGACTAACCGCGAAAGTGCGGTGGCACTGGCGAAATAGCATTACGCTTTTTCACTAAGTAGAAAATATAACTGATACTAAATATTGCTATTAACAAAAATATGCCCGCTAAACCTTGCCAAAGAATTGGTGAGTTATTATTGGGGTTGGAGTGGTTTTTTTCGGTATTTATTATCGCTATTTGGTTATTATCACCGCCCATTAATACCACTTGGTCTATTTCACTTTCTATTTTGCTTAATTGTTGGGTATTTTCACCCTTAATAATTAACTTTTTTAATTGCGGTAGACCTTTAATGCTTAAAGTTTTTAGTTGGGGGAAATTCTCCACTGTTAGTTCGCTGCCCGTCAGGTCTCGGGTTATCTGATTTCCTGTTAAATGTATTGCTTTTACTTCGCTTCCGTAGTTATTGTTAAAATATTCTTGAATGGTCGGCATGTTAGTTCTTTTCTTTAATAATTCCTTCTAAGTAGGTTGTTTTTCTTTAACTCGTCGATTTGTCGTTGTTCGTTCCCGTTTTTCTTTTCTAGTTCTTTGATTCTTTCTTTACTCTTTTCCTCAACTTTCTCTAATTTTATCTGTCGGTCTTTGAGTTTCAAATTATAGTTCATAAACATGGCTACTAAAAAAAGGACTAGTCCAATTAGGGCTAAAACTGTATAAAATCATTCTCGGCAGTTTTCCATAGTTATTTCTTGGCTATTACTTGTAATTGCTCGGGAGTTTCTTTTATGTTTGGTTCCTCTTTCATTTCTTCTATCTCTTTGACCTCTAAAACTTTTTCTGCTCTCTGTTCAAAACTAGTGCCATAAGTTAGAATATGTTGTCCTTGACAAAACCTTTCAAATTCTTTAATAGATTTCTCCCGTTCTCTTTTTTTATCTCGTTCTAAGGCGATAAATTGGGCTTCGTTTAGTTCTATTTCGGGATTGTTTTGTCGTTCTTCTTTTTTGCTGGTTAAGTGTCTAATGCCGTAAACTCTTCTTAATTCGGAAAATTCTTCTTTATAGTCTTGATATAAACGGGTTCTTTCCTCAGTTCCTTTGCTGGGAGCATAAACCACCATTTCTCTGATTTCATTAGTAATGGAAGGGTCCGAGACATAGAATAAATAATCTTTTTCCGCAGCATCTATTTTTTTAACTTGGGTTTCCTCGGAAGGGTCATTTTCACATCTTAAAAAAACTTTTTTCTTGGATTTGTCTCGGTCTCATTCAATTTTTTTTCTGATATCTCATAAGTCTTCCAAATAAATAGTTTCAGCATCTAAGAGATTGGGAGTGTGAGTGGAGTTATTAAAGAATAAGATAATTTCCTCGGGTTTTAAAAATATTTCTTTTTTGTCTTTGGGTTCGACATAGTCCTTAGGTTTGGTTCTTAAAGTCTTGCCACTTTTAAACTGGATTTCAATATTGGTTATTTCTCCCAGGTCGTTGGCTTCATACTTAATTAAATCGACTACTAATCATTTATTTTCTTTTTCATTTATTAAGTAAAGAGCACCTTTTCCTTTCTTACTCTGTTTTTTTTCCAGTTCGTTTCAATGGAAAACTAACGGGCAATTTTCCTCACTACATTCTAAATTAGAGATACCAATAAAGTAATTATGAAAAAACTCTAAAATGTTGGCTTTTCATAAATCTTTTTGGGAGGGGGTTTTATTGTTAGTCATATTTTTAAAATAATTAGTATGTTTAGAAAAAGGAATATTTGAAAGTCTTTACTGTTTAGTTTGTTAACTTCCAATATTATTATGGTGGTAGTTTGAACTATTCAAACTTCTTTTGGTTATATTCCTTTCAATAGTCTTTATCTTTAATTGGCATAATTGCTTAATGTTTCAGGGGTTTTTCACAATTTACTATAATCAGCATATAAACTCTCGTAATCATTGTGAATGTATTGGGCTGTGGTTTCGAGGTTAGAATGTCCTAATAACTTCTGAATAGTGGTCATTCTTACTTTCCTTCTATCTAATAAAGTAGCAAATGACCTTCTGAAAGTGTGAGGACTAACTCATTTTCTTAATCCGGCTAATTTAGTTCGGGTTCTTATTATCTCCCGGACTTTATCAGTTAAAATCTTGGTTCCATTCTGGTTAGTAAATAAATAACCGCGAGAGCCAGGTTTGAGATAGGGAACTAAAAAAGGAGGCAAAAGAGCTTGCCGAATTTTATTGCCCTTGCCGTGAATTCGTAAACTATTATCTTGCCAATCTCGGTGTTTGATATTTACTAGTTCACTTACTCGGATGCCACTATAAAAAAGAAAATCCAAAATTAAACTATTTCTTTGTCAAATTTTCTCATTCTTTTCAAATCGGGCTTGTTTTAATAAGTCTAATTCTTTTTCATCTATCGTGGTAAAGAATTTCCTCATTTTCTTGGGAATGAAGTTTTTAATTTGGTCTCAATCAATATTTTCAGCAATCTTTAAATATTTGCTATAAGAGATTAAGGCAGCCAAGTATAATTGACAAGTAGCTGGTTCTCTATTTTTAGTTAATTTCTTAATAAACTTGCTAATGTTTTCCGTAGTTAGGGAATAGTTATAATATTTACTGATTACTAATTTATAGACAGTAATAGTATTAGGGGATAAGTTTTTGATTTTTAAATAGTTTAGATAATTAGTTAATTTTAATAGACCTTTTTTATAATTAGTCTCGTTTTGTCTATATGCCAAAAACATATGACAGCAAAAGAAATAA